TGCTGCTGATTCAATAAAGATTGTTGCAGTTTGCTGTCTGTATTAAGCCTTTTTTTGCATTATAGTTGCTCAGATTTTTTTCTTGCACAATTAAGACTACAAATTGGTATCAGAGCATTTTTTTCTTAAGGGATCTGTGTGACGTTTGTGAGTAGTGTTATTTGCAAACACCAAACCGGAAAACAGAAACCTTGATTTAATGGCTTCCAATGCATTCTCTCCAGTTTCTCCACCAGTTTTCACTAGTGAAACTGCACACTATCATACATGGGCAGTTAGAATGTCTGCTTATTTGCAAGCTGTGGACCTTTGGGAGGCAGTCGAGGAAGACTATGAAATTGACCCATTACCTGACAATCCCATTATGCAGCAAATTAAGGTTCACAAGGAGAGAAGAACTAAGAAGTTCAAGGCCAAATCATGCCTCTATTCAGCAGTGTCTGAAGCATTATTTACCAAGATCATGAACTTGGAGTCAGCTTTTGAAATCTGGCAGTATCTCAGGGAGGAGTTTCAAGGCAACGTGAGAACAAGAAGTATGCAGGTGTTAAATCTCAGAAGGGAATTCGAGCTCCAGAAGATGAAAGAATCTGAGACTATCAAGGAGTATGCAGACAGGCTTTTGAGCATTGTTAACCAAGTGAGGCTTCTTGGAGAGCAGTTTTCTGACAGAAGGATTGTGGAGAAAATTCTGGTGACCTTATCTGAGAAGTTTGAAGCCAAGATATCTGCTTTGGAGGAGTCTAGAGATCTTGTAGAGGTCTCATTGGCAGAACTTTTAAATGCTTTGCAAGCACAAGAGCAAAGGAGACAAATTAGAGAGGAGGGGTCTATTGAAAGTGCTTTACAAACAAAGTTGCAAATCTATAAAAGTGGTAAAGACAAGAAGACAAAATGGAGGAAACACAAAGGTGCTGGAGCCAACAGCAGTAATGGGAATGCAGGTGCTCAAAACAACAACAGTAATGCTGGAAGGTTTCCTTCATGTCCTCACTGTGGAAGGACTAATCACTCTCAGAACAGGTGCTGGAGTAGGCCTGATGTTAAGTGCAATAGATGCAATCAAATGGGCCATGTGGAAAGAATTTGCAAGAGCATAAGTAACCAGCAGGAAGATGAGGCTAAGGCTGTGGTTCAAGAGGAAGAAGAGCAACTGTTTGTTGCATCTTGTTATGCAAGTAGTAGCTTGAGTGAGGCTTGGCTTATAGATAGTGGTTGTACAAACCACATGACGAATGATCCGGAGCTCTTCAAGGTGTTGGATAAGTCTGTCTTCTCCAAAGTCAAAGTCGGCAAGGGAGAGTATGTTGAAGTTAAAGGTCGAGGGACCATAGCTATTGAAAGTGTTACAGGTACTAAACTAATCAATGATGTTTTATATGTACCTAGGATTGACCAAAATTTGCTAAGTGTTGGACAGCTTCTTGAGAAAGGGTTTAAGGTGTTTTTTGAGAACAAGAGGTGTATCATTAAGGATGCGGAGGATCAGGAGGTGTTTACTATAAAGATGAGAGGCAAGTGCTTTTCACTAGATCTCATGGAAGAGGAACAAGCTGCATATCAAATTTCATTAAACAATGCAATGACATGGCATAAGAGATTAGGCCATTTTCACCATCAAGCACTCTTGTTTATGCAGAAGCATGAGTTGGTACAGGGCCTACCTCCACTGGAAAATCACTTACCAAGCTGCAAAGCTTGTCAGTATGGCAAGCAAAATAGGTTGCCAGTCCCTCAGAAATCCTGGAGAGCCTCACAGAAGTTGCAACTTGTGCATACTGACCTTGGAGAACCACTGAAGACTCCATCACTTAAAGGAAGTAGGTATTATATTGTTTTTATAGATGATCTAACAAGAATGTGTTGGATTTATTTTTTAAGTGTTACAAACAGAGAACTGATTGTAATTTTCTTATGTATTGCATTGACAAATTATACATCAATATATAGGAAAATAAAGAACTAATCTAGGAAATAAATAATCTAATCTANCTAAGCTCCAGAAAAAGTTGTATATATCTCACAAATGGATGTGGACAGAATAGGGAACATTATGCCTAAATGCATGATACTTCTCCAATTTCTGTTTTCACCAGATTTATTTAAGATCCAAGTGGGAATTTTTTGAACCAGTTTAAGTGCTTTGATAAAGGGCTCTACCTGAAAAAGGGCACAGCTTCTTGTAATTAAGCAAATGTTGTCTAAGCTTCCTAAGCTCCAGACTTTGAAAGTGGATCTTCAGGACCAATCTGTTCAAGTATGGCTTATAAAAATTTAATACTTAGTTTCTCATTATGGGTAATCTTGTGTCTTTAATTCGGGGTAATTTTGTGACTAAGTTAGTGTGAGATGTGGCTACGGTTCAGCACAAGTATGAGAGAGAACATGAGCAAGAACTCTTAACACGAGAGATTTTGAGTGATTAAGATATAGAAGGTGAGAAACGATTATATATTGTAATTGTATTGTTCTCTTTAATCTAGTGAAGTATATAACCTCCTGTGAATGTAGACATTTTTTTGATGAACCACTTACAATCACTTATATATTGTGTTGCGGTTGTCTGTTTGCTTGTTGATTGGTTCTTTATTGTCATTTGTATCACTTCGGTTCATTAAATCCAAGGTCTTAAGATGTTCTTTGTATTATTATTTGACAAAAGTGCCAACTGAGCATAAGTGACACTAATTTTGGTTTCAAACATTGTCTTCATCACATACTATTGCAGCACTCACATCCAAAAATAAATGGGTGGGGTTTTGATAAATACTAAGCAGATTATCTACCTTCTTTAAATCTCTCATGAGTTAGCACTACCTCGGAGAACCCCCATGACAGTGACAATCCAATTTTCACATTGCATTTTCCTATTTTGATCAACGTGAGCTTTCTTTAATGAACTTCTGATCCGATACATGTACTATTATTCTAATTATTTTCTTTTCATAGTGGAATTGCATTACTATGGCCAGTGTTTTGCATTTTGTTATCCGGTAAATCACGAAAGAATGATTCCCAATTTGGCTAGGAGATATCTCGTGATAAAGACTTCGCAAATCAAGAGGTGAAAATTAAGTCAATTTTTTGTTTCATTGATTTTGTATTTACTTACAATTCGAACTTGTAATTGGTACAGTATATAAACCCAAACCCTGGTTCTTTTAAGAAGAAGACATAAGAGTCATTACACAGATTTATTCACAAAGAGACTGAGAAAAGAGATAACTCGAGAGATTCGCCATTCTTATAAACTCTCAATAACATTATTTTTCCATTGATCCATATCAAATCCGTAAGTCTCAAGTAGATTCCTACACAGATTCATGCATCTAGAATCATGCATACTTGTGGTTGGTGCAAAAAATCACACCAACACGTCTTATTTGAACCAAGATTTGGGCCCAATTGTCTAGTTATAACAACGTTGAGTTTTGGGTCGTTTGAAGGTGTTCCTAATAGCACCCAGCAATATTTAACACCTAACTCTCTATATTACATCAAGGCATTCAGCAACAACCCATTAGATTGCATTTTATTATTATATTACGGTTGAAAGATGGACTAAGGGACCCTTGATTTTGGAGAAACTGGTGAATAAAACTTCAAGGTTTAGATCAACGCAATTTTTTTTTTTTTTTTTTCTTTTGCATTATGCTCTCGATCTTTTATTTATTTCACCCTCATAAATTTGATTGTGTGAAAGATGAGGTCCATTAAGGTTAAAAAAAAAAAAAACCAGACCCAGTGGCTGGCAGCTGCCGGCATGCTTATTAATGCCGTAAATATGATTCCACCAATAATTTTCTATTAATAATATACACGTATATATTCATGCATGTACCAATCACCATTCCTCCAATTGGACTTCAATGGAAGACACAGTGCAATGATATATTGCCTCTTCATTTTTCAGTAACAAGTTTGTCCTAAACAACTAATATCGGCTTCAGGCTCTACAATGAATTTTGCAATTAATAATCTATATACATGTATTCAGGACTTATATTAGTTTCTTTTTGACCATGATTTATTCGCTAATTTTTAGTAGAAGATCATAGGAACATAAGCATGGAGGAGCAAAATGATCTATAAGGGAAAAATTAAGGCTGCTGGGGAAGATGGTGTGATGGTCTCTCTCTATTAAAGATCACTTTTGTAAAGCACCATCAACTCCAGGAGGAAACGCTGTACCTATTCTGTAGTTTGTGATTGAGATTATATTTCCTATGTTGTGCATTGAACTCTCCAGCTAAGCAGCCGGCAACTAATCTTAATGAATGGAATGTATGACGACAAATTTAATTTAGGCAGCGACTCAATTAGGTCAACTATTTGTTTGGTAAGGTAATTAACAAATATTCTCTCATTAAACAAGGCTGAAGACCCTAGCTAACTATTGTTAAATCCAAAGCTTAATTATATTAAAAAAGTTTCGATTATTACATCACCTGATGTAATCGCTATGGATTAAATTAAACGAAGAATTAAACTGACCATCTATTTGATCAGAAAAGGGAGACTTATCGAAGCCAATTAACACAAGTACTGGAGGATCGTCGGCGTGCATGCAATTCAAGATTATATGCCTGGTTGAAGTTTTGAACCAAACTTCGCAGTAAGGTACGCATGGACATTCTGCTCATGGACTTTTGTGTTTTAATTATAACGCTTAAGTCAGAGTTCGAGATTGTAATTACTTGTGTCAAATATGTTAATTTTGCCATGCATATTACTGATAATTTCTGAGCCCAAAACTCAGTACAATTTGGAGTATTCAGAGTACAGGGAAGGATGAGTAACAATGGTGTTCAGTGTTATATATAATCACTTTACAGTTCTTTAATTAAAGACACCAAATTTGGACTGCATTGGGATTATTTATTATAGATACATATCAAGAAACCATAATTTTTTTTGTTTAATTACCTTGTCATACTTGATACAGGTGAGATTTGCAAGAAATTCGATCCGAAGGTTTCTTTAAATTTCTTCCAAAGAAAATGGACTTGAATGTTCAGATCATCTCAAGAGAAACCATCCAACCTTCTTCTCCAACACCATCTCACCTAAAAATATATAAGCTCTCTCTTTTTGACCAGTTAGCTCCTCCTGTTTATGCACCTATTATTCTCTTTTACTCACCAACTGATGAAAATGATTCCAGCAAAAGATCTAATCATCTTAAAAAGTCCTTGTCGAAAACATTAACCAAATTCTACCCATTTGCCGGACGCGTCAAAGATGGTTTCTCAATAGAGTGTAATGATCGTGGTGCCATATTTATTGAAGCTCTTGTTGATTGTGATATGTCCATGGTCCTTAAACAACCAGAAATTGATCAGCTTCAACAGCTACTACCTGAAGTCAGTTCTGATCAGACGCTCCTAGCCGTCCAGGTCAATTACTTTGGTTGCGGCGGCATAGCGGTGAGTGTTTGCATTAGGCATGTGATTGGCGATGCCTCAGCAGCAGCACATTTTGTTAAAACCTGGGCCGCCATTGCATGTGGTGAAAATATTAATATTGATGATGCGATTTTAGATTGCACCTCTTTATTCCCTCCACAAAATTTCTTCGGCTTCTCAAAGAATATCAGCAAAAACCATGATTTGTTACTTAACGTTGCAATGAAAAGGTTCTTGTTTGATGGCTCCAAAATAGCCGCTCTGAGATCAAAAATAGGGAAGATTGGTCCGAGTCTGGATCATCCAACGCGTGTTGAGGCCGTCTCAGCACTCATTTGGAGTGCTGTGATAGCAATAGCTACAGAAAGAGACAAGACTATGCCGATGCATGTGGCAGCAACTGCTGTAAATTTGCGAAAGAGATTGAATCCACCGTTGCCGCAACAAAGTATTGGTAACATCTACCAAGGACAATGGCAAATTGGTTGATGGGGAAGACTACAAACTACAATGATTTAGCAGAAAAAATTCATGAATCCATAAAGAAGATGAACAATGAGTATATAAGGGAGCTTCATGAAGGTGGTGGGTACTTGAATATAATGAGAAATGCAGCTGAAGGACTTGTGTTGAGAATATGTCTCAGCTGCTGATTTGGCATGATGAGGTGGCTGCTGATTTGGTCAAGGATTGCTGCATAATGGATGGTTGCTGATTTGGTGCTGAAAGTTGTTAAACGTGTGTATTTTTAGATTTAGTCTTTGAAGTAGAGCTGGTCATGTGCTTGTTTTTAGGAATACGTTATCTCAGTAGTGAATAAGTTGTTAGTGGAGTCATGTTCAGTGTTTTTAGCAAGTTTGTTATGGATTTCTGTTACAAAATCCTGTATATATTTGCTGCTGATTCAATAAAGATTGTAGCAGTTTGCAGTCTGTATTAAGCCTTTTTTTGCATTATAGTTGCTTAGATTTTGTTCTTGCACAATTAAGACTACAAATTGGTATCAGAGCATTTTTTCTTAAGGGATCTGTGTGACGTTTGTGAGTAGTGTTATTTGCAAACACCAAACCAGAAAACAGAAACCTTGATTTAATGGCTTCCAATGCATTCTCTCCAGTTTCTCTACCAGTTTTCACTGGTGAAACTACACACTATCATACATGGGTAGTCAGAATGTCTGCTTATTTGCAAGCTGTGGACCTCTGGGAGGCAGTCGAGGAAGACTACGAAATTGACACATTACCTGACAATCCCACTGTGCAACAAATTAAGGTTCACAAGGAGAGAAGAACTAAGAAGTTCAAGGCCAAATCATGCCTCCATTTAGCAGTGTCTAAAGCATTATTTACCAAGATCATGAACTTGGAGTCAGCTTTTGAAATCTGGCAGTATCTCACGGAGGAGTTTCAAGGCAACGCGAGAACAAGAAGTATGCAGGTGTTAAATCTCAGAAGGGAATTCGAGCTCTAGAAGATGAAAGAGTCTGAGACTGTCAAGGAGTATGCAGATAGGCTTTTGAGCATTGTTAACCGAGTAAGGCTTCTTGGAGAGCAGTTTTCTGACAGAACGATTGTGGAGAAAATTCTGGTGACCTTACCTGAGAAGTTTGAAGCCAAGATATCTGCTTTGGAGGAGTTTAGAGATCTTGTAGAGATCTCATTGGCAGAACTTTTAAATGCTTTGCAGGCACAAGAGCAAAGGAGACAAATTAGAGAGGAGGGGTCTGTTGAAGGTGCTTTACAAGCAAAGTTGCAAATCTATAAAAGTGGTAAAGACAAGAGGACAAAATGGAGGAAACACAAAGGTGCTAGAGCTAGCAGCAGTAGTGGGAATGTAGGTGCTCAAAACAACAACATTAATGCTGGAAGGTTTCCTTCATGTCCTCACTGTGAAAGGACTAATCATTCTCAGAACATGGTGCTGGAGTAGGCCTGATGTTAAGTGCAATAGATGCAATCAAATGGGCCATGTGGAAAGAATTTGCAAGAGCAGAAGTAACAAGCAGGAAGATGAGGCTAAGGCTGTGGTTTAAGAGGAAGAAGAGCAACTGTTTGTTGCATCTTGTTTTGCAAGTAGTAGCTTGAGTGAGGCCTGGCTTATAGATAGTGGTTGTACAAACCACATGACGAATGATCCAGAGCTCTTCAAGGTGTTGGATAAGTCTGTCTTCTCCAAAGTCAAAGTCAGCAATGGAGAGTATGTTAAAGTTAAAGGTCGAGGGACCATAGCTATTGAAAGTGTTATAGGTACTAAACTAATCAATGATGTTTTATATGTACCTAGGATTGACCAAAATTTGCTAAGTGTTGGACAGCTTCTTGAGAAAGGGTTTAAGGTGTTTTTTGAGAGCAAGAGGTGTATCATTAAAGATGCAGAGGATCAGGAGGTGTTTACTATAAAGATGATAGGCAAGTGCTTTTCACTAGATCTCATGGAAGAGGAACAAGTTGCATATCAAATTTCATTAAACAATGCAGTGACATGGCATAAGAGATTGGGCCATTTTCACCATCAAGCACTCTTGTTTATGCAGAAGCATGAGTTGGTACAGGGCCTACCTCCACTGGAAAATCACTTACCAAGCTGCAAAGCTTGTCAATATGGCAAGCAAAATAGGTTGCCATTCCCTCAAAAATCTTGGAGAGCCTCACAGAAGTTGCAACTTGTGCATACTGACCTTGGAGGACCACTAAAGACTCCATCACTTAAAGGAAGCAGGTATTATATTGTTTTTATAGAGATCTGACAAGAATGTGTTGGATTTATTTTTTAAGGTTCAAGTTTGAAGTGGCTGGAGTGTTCTGGAGATACAGGGCTTTTGTGGAAAACCAAAGTGGCTGCAAGATGCAAATATTAAGGTCAGACAATGGGAAGGAGTACACCTCGACTCAATTCAATCAATTTTGTGAAGAAGCAGGCATTGAACACCAATTGACAACCTTCTATACTCCACAACAAAATGGAGTAAGTGAAAGAAAAAATAGATCGATCATGGAAATGACAAGGTGCATGTTGCATGAGAAGGGAATGCCTAAAAATTTTTGGGCAGAGGCTGCTAGTACTGTTGTTTCCTCTTAAACAGGCTGCCAACAAGGGCTTTGGAAAATAAAACTCCTTTTCAAGGCTGGTGTACCCTCCTTATTGAATCTAAAAATATTCGGTTGTTTGTGCTTTTCACATGTTCCTCAAGTGAAGAGGGACAAGCTTGATAAAAGGGTAGAGCCTGGAGTGTTTATTGGTTACAGCAGCTCTTCTAAAGCTTACAGAATTTTCCAACCACAAACTGGAAAAATTCTGACTAGCAGAGATGTTATGTTCATGGAAGACGAACAATGGAATTGGAATCAAACCAAGGAGGAACAAAGTTTAGAAATTCCATGTACTCATGACAGCAACATAGATGATCCACCTGTAAGAGGAACTAGATATCTCTCAGACATCTATCAAAAATGTAATATTGCTATGATGGAGCCTGCAGAGTACAAAGATGCTGAGAAACACCAAAGATGGGTGGAAGCCATGAAGGAAGAAATAAGAATGATTGAGAAAAACCATACTTGGGAGCTTGTTGATAAACCCCAAGATAGGAAAATTATTGGAGTTAAATGGGTGTTTAGAACTAAATACAACTCAAATGGTTCAGTCAACAAGTATAAAGCAAGACTTGTTGTTAAAGGGTATGCTCAAGTGTTTGGTGTGGACTTCTCAGAGACCTTTGCACCTGTTGCAAGGTTAGATACCATCAGAATGTTACTGGTATTAGCTGCACAAAGGGGTTGGAAAGTGTATCAATTGGATGTAAAGTCAGCATTCTTAAATGGTTTCTTGCAGGAGGAGATTTATGTTGAGCAACCAGAGGGATTTGTGGTGAAAGGTCATGAGGACAAGGTGTATCTACTAAGGAAGGCTTTGTATGGTCTTAAGCAGGTACCAAGAGCCTGGTACAACCGAATTAATTATCACTTGTTGAGCCTAGGCTTTGATAAGAGCCTTAGTGAAGCCACTTTGTAAGTGAGAAAGGTGGATTCTGACTTAATTATTGTATCTGTTTATGTTGATGATTTGCTTATCACAGGAGGAAATGAAAAGCTTATTAAAGACTTCAAGACAGAAATGTTCAAGGTGTTTGAAATGACTGATTTGGGCTTGATGTCTTATTTTCTTGGAATAAAGGTGAGGCAAAGGCAACAAGACATTTTTATTTGTCAGACTAAATATGCAAAGGAGATTCTAAAGAAGTTTCATATGGAGAGTTGCAAGGCTACAACAACTCCTATGGTTCAGAAGGAGAAGTTCAGCAAGGATGATGGGTCTAACAAAGTTGATGAAGGGTTATATCGAAGCTTAATAGGCTGCCTGATCTATCTCACAGCAACCAGGCCTGATATCTTATATGATGTGAGCATGCTCTCAAGATTTATGCACTGTGCTAGTGAAGTGCATCTTCAAGCAGCAAAGAGAGTTGTCAGATATGTGAAGGGCACTGCCAACTATGGTGTTAAGTTCTCATAGTGTTCAGTCCTTGAATTTCATGGCTTCTCAGATAGTGACTAGGCAGGTTCAATTGATGATATGAGGAGCACAACTGGATTTTGTTTCAGTTTTGGTTCAGAGGTGTTCTCATGGTGCTCTAAGAAGCAAGAGTTGGTTACTCAAAGTACTACAGAAGCTGAGTTTGTGGCTGCTACAGCAGCTGTCAATCAAGCTCTTTGGTTTAGGAAGGTGCTAATTGATCTACATATGGAGTAGAACGAAGGCACAAAGATTTTGGTTGACAACAAGGCAGCAATTTCCATTTCAAATAATCGTGTCTTTCATGGCAGGACAAAGCATTTTAAAATCAAATTATATTTCCTAAGGGAAATACAAAAGGAAGGAGAAGTATGTTTGGCTTACTGCAGAACGGAAGATCAAGTTGCTGATATATTTACCAAGGCCTTGTCCAAAACCAGGTTTGAGTTTCTAAGAGAAAAGCTAGGAATGTGCAGCATTTGATCCAAGGAGGAGTGTTGAGAATATGTCTCAGCTACTGATTTGGCATGATAAGGTGGCTGCTGATTTGGTCAAGGATTGCTGCATAATGGATGGTTGCTGATTTGGTGTTGAAAGTTGTTAAACGTGTGTATTTCCAGATTTAGTCTTTGAAGTAGAGCTGGTCATGTGCTTGTTTTTAGGAATATATTATCTCAGTAGTGAATAAGTTGTTAGTGGAGTCATGTTCAGTGTTTTTAGCAAGTTTGTTACGTATTTCTGTTACAAAATCCTATATATATTTGCTACTGATTCAATAAAGATTGTAGCAGTTTGCAGTCTGCATTAAGCCTTTTTTTGCATTATAGTTGCTCAGATTTTGTTCTTGCACAATTAAGACTACAACTTGGAAAGAGTTCAAACATAAAGGTATTTGGTTTCAGTAGTTGGTGTAGATTTCCTTTTTATGAAGCTGATTTTGGGTGGGGGAAGCCCATTTGGTTAAGCACGGCTCTGAAACTTAACAAAGTTGCTATATTCTTGGACACGAGTGATGGAAAGGGAATAGAAGCATGGGTGGGATTGTCCAAAGAGAACATGGATAAATTTGAACAAGACCCTGATATCCTTGCTTATGCTTCTTTCATTCCAAGCATTTGAGTGTTATTCATAATTAACACTTCATATAATAAGGGATTGTACTTAAGCCAGTTCAATAAGCTGAACACTCGGCACATCCAACTGCTAGAATATAAATAATTGCCGTTGGAAGGTCATAAAGTGCTTTATAATTGTATTTCTATGTCACTCTAGTTACAATGCTTTACAAAAGTGTTTTACGGAAGTGATTTTCCATCCCCACTAAATTATTTTAGTGAACATTTTTTTTTTTTTTGGGTGAATGGAAATAGTATTAAGAAAAAAAATGAATGAGACCCCAAAGAGAGTCTCTACAAAAGTTTATGCATCTTGGACATTCCCAGGAACCAAAAAATACAGCATATACAAAAAAGAAACAACATCATTTACAATCCTGACTACCCGTGATCTAACCTGAAGGAGGTCTAAAATAGCAAACCAACAGCACAAAAAAAGGGAGGCCTTGTATCAAAAAGTGTAGCCCCAAACCTTGTAACCAGTCCACATATTTGCAACAACATGCACTCCTGTCATTGGGGAGATAATGGCCACAAACAGAAGGTCTCTCTCTCTGAAGTGAAAGCCACATCCACAAAAAGGTCCAAACTTATATATTAGCAGCAACCTCACTACAGACCACAAACCAAAGAATCAGCCAACTGTCCCGCGGCCAAACTAAGTAATATTTGGTCTCTCTTTGGAAATCCCTATGAAAGCTAACCGAGAGCCACTCATCAGCCCACAAACAATTCCTGACACCAGCAAAAAATATAATAGACCTCGAACATGGGCAACAGCATGTCCGAATAAAGATTGATCCAAAGGCCATGATGGGTGGCGGCGGCAACATCAACCAAAAGAAACAAGAGATACAACTACAAAGGGCATACATAAAAAAAGAATGGGGCATCCTGCCGAGCATAAACAAAAATCTTCCTTTCATGCAAAACATAAACCAAAATTCCAGATTCCTTAGCCAAGAAGGGTAGCGCCAATAAAAATCCAGACTCCTCACACTCCCATAAAAAGGCCTCATAAAAAGGAATGGTAAAACAAGCTAGGGTGTGCCAGTTTTTATGCAATCCTTAGGAAGATTCCATTCTTCCACAACTTTACGGACTCTTCTGTTATCTTTGAACTTCAAAGAATGAAGTCTAAGTCTGACCTCCCCAAACAACAGAATTTCTAGCATATCTGTACTTCTCCGTGTGTTTTTGAATAATCGAAAGTTCCGCTCCTGCCATAAGAAATACACCATAGCCCTAAATAACAATTTACAGACAACATTTTGAATCTTTTTACCTCTAAATTTAGTTATGCACCAGTTTACAATGTCAATCCATTCCCCTGGTGGTGGTCGAAACTGCCCCTTAATTTGAACAGCCTTCCACACTTTTTGGGAGTAAGGGCAATCAAAAAATAGGTGTTCATGTGAATCCATGGGGCCATTGCAGAGTCTACAACAAAGTTCTGCTGAATTCATCCATCTTTGCATTCTGTCTTGCGTTAGAAGTTTTCAGTTAATGGCAAGCCAGGCAATAAAAGAATGGCGGGGTATACAAGTGCCATTCCAAATTAAAGAACACCAAGGGGCAGACCCATTTTCCATGTAAAGGTCTTTCCAAACTTGTCTAGTGGAGAATTTGACCATTTTTCCATTTTTATCCTGCCAATATAGGGTGTCCCTTGTGCCAACCATGGAGACAGGAGATGTGTGATTGGTTACCACTGGATATTCTTCTCCAAGAATTTCAGGCCACTCCCATAACCCATTTCTAAAAATGTCACTCACTCGGGCATTATGCCCCAACCCTGAAAGGTAGAAGATCTGTGAAGGAACAATCTCGTCAAGGGGTCCCTATGGGTGCCAATTATCAAACCACGAAAAAGTATCTTGTCTATTACCAAGAGTAGTCCGAATATGCTTTCTGACTTGTTCCCTCATTTTCAATAATTTACGCCAACACCAACTAGCATCCCATGCAACATTGATATTCCAAAAACTCCTCCCCTTCAGCCTGTACGTATGGATCCATTTGACCCATAAGGAGTCCTTTCCTGACAATATACTCCAAAGGTGGTACACCATCAATACAATGTTCTTACTTTCGAGAGACCGAATTCCCAGACCGCCTCATTTTTAGGAATACATACATCTTTCCATGCAACCCTTACCTTCCCTTTGCTCATGTCATTGCCAGACCACAGAAACGAGCACATAAGTTTTTCTATTGTCTGGATAACCGAGCCAGGAAGAATGAAGACAAAAGCCCAATAAATATGAATAGAAGAGAGCACCGAGATAATTAACTGTAGCCTACCAGCATAAGATAAACTTTGGGGACACCAAGATATCTGATAGGGAGTTTTCCCTTATCAAAGCCCATAATATTGTTAATAACAGCTTGGTGCTCATCTTTCACATTAAAGAAAAATGAGGAATTTTTGGCAATGTTTGGAACCAGGCCAGATACTTCAGAAAACTCTTTAAAGGGGTCTCTCAACACTTGAACCAAGAAAGGGTCCTCGTGGCAAAAGAGGAATAAGTCATCCGCAAAGCAAAGATGACTTATCCCAAGTTTATCACAACGGAAATGGTATTTGAAACCCCCTCTTTCCCGAGTTTTATGACGGATAATGAGAGATAAAACCTGCATTACCAATGTAAATAAGTGAGGGGAAAAGGAGTCCTCTTGCCTCAATCCTCTTTTCCTTGAAAGAACCCATGATGTTCCTCGTTTATAGCCACCGAAAAAGAAGGAGTGGTAACACATTCTTTGATCCAGCCTATCATTTTTTCCGAGAAGCCAAAATATTTCAAGGTTTGGATCAAGAAGCCCCAATCAACACTATCATAAGCTTCTTGTATATCCACTTTAAAAGCACATCTAGCAGCTCCAGTACTACTGTGGTAGTTCTTAAATAGCTCTTGAGCTAACAAAATATTGTCACTTATACGCCTGTCTAGAATCAAGGCTAATTGATTCACTTCCATAAGGTCTCCTAAGCACCATTTCACTTGGTTAGCTATAATTTTGGAAATGGCTTTGTAGAGCACATTACAGCAAGATATTGGTCGAAAATCACCCATTTTTTACGGCATTTCAGCTTTGGAACAAGCGTTATCACCATAGAGTTCACCTCCCTCAAAAGTTTACCATTGTTGAAGAAGTCAATAATTGCTTCTAACTCTTCATCCCCCACAATACTCCAAGCTGCTTTGAAGAATTTTGAGGAGTACCCATCTAGACCCGGAGCTTTGTCATCCTCAATATAAAAAATAACACTTTTAATTTCTTGTTTACTAAGCTCACGGATCATGTTCATGCAATTCACCTCAGATACTCTGGACTTGAACAAACTATTAAAGCCTTCCATACTTGAGACCAAGGGAGCTGTACCAAGGAGATTCTAATAATAATCCACAAAAGCTTTAGCCATAGCTTGACCTTCCACAATTTCATTCGAATCAAGAGACATTCTCTCTATTCGCCTGACATTCAAAGAAGATTTAAGAGATTTATGAAACAAGCCAGTATTCTGGTCCCTAACACTTAACTAGTGAATCTTGGACTTCTGTTTCAAAAGCCTTTCCTCATCCAACAATGCTTTCCTAAACGCCCCTGAAAAGACTACTTCTTGTTCCCTTAATTCTCTATTATGAGGGTCAACGTCAAGGACACTTTGAATATTTTCAACCACTTTCCTAAGCACTGCCACCTTCTGAGTGAGATTACCTTGCTTCCTATTAAGGGCTCTAAAGTAAGATTTGAGGGCTTTCAGCTTCTACACCACTGAGAATAATGGGAATCCAGGTATATGAGTATCCCAAACCTATTGAACCAATGGTCTAAAATCCTCCTTGTACACCAAATAGTTGAAAATTTTGAAAGGTCGAGGCTTACTCGACATGAGTTGGGGAAAAACGGTCACAGCAGGGTTGTGATCACTTATCCCTTGAGGAAAGAAAAATGTATTAGCTCTCGAAAAAGTAGCCATAAAAAGGGAATTACCCATCACCCTATCCAACTTTTTCATAACCCCATTAACCCCATGGGGTTTAACATTTGGGGCAGTTTATTAAAACAACCTCTCAAGTTTGAATTTAATTAAAAGGCTATCAAGTTTTAAAGTTTTAAGTAAATAGCCAAATTATTGATTAAGGGTAATTAAACTTGATTAGTGCTTAATTAGGATTAAAGAAGTATTATGTAATCTTTTAAAAATTATACTATATTCCCAAAAACCTGAAATTCTTGCAAACAAATCCAAACACCTTCTTCTTCCTCCCGCCATTAACGCATCTCCACCTTGGTTGCTATTTCTTCTTAGCTTCGTCTACATCTTCTTCTTCGTCTGCATCTTCTTCTTCGTCTACATCTTCTTCTTCCTCCTTCCTGTACATCTTCTTCTTCCTCATTCCTCTATATCTTCTTGTTCCTCCGCCATTAACACTTTCTTCTTCCTCCACCATTAACATCTTCTCCGCCAAAGATCCCCCTCCTCCTCCTCCTGACATTTCATGTAAGTATGTGTATCTCTTCTTTACATTTTATATTTAGATTTACAAAGATTTAATAATAGATAGCATTTGGGTTATGATTTTGATTTAGTTGTTTAGGTTGTTGGGTTGTGTTTGACGTAATGCAAGTTGAAAGGAGTGAAATTTGTAGAAAATTTGTTCTAGGTATAATGGATCGATTATAGATGGAGATGACTAAAAATGTGTTCTGGGTACGATGGATCGCTTAAGTGATCTGGTGTATCGCTTAAGCGATCTGATAGATCTGGTAATGCAGCAGATAGATCGCTTAAGCGATCAAGTATGTGGCATAAGATCGTTTAAGCGATCTAGTAAAAGTCTGGTGTATAGGAGCAAATCACTTAACCGATCAGTAAATGACATAAGATTGCTTAAGCGATACAGCAGATCATATAAGTGACTGTGCAGATTCTTTTTAAAATATTTGAACCCTTAGTACAACATTTAAGAATATTTTTTTTCTTGCATTACAGGTAGTTGGCTATTATCACACATGAGACAAGTTGTTTTGGGTATTGAATATTTTGGTGAGTGGGTGGAGGAAGAAAGTAGCTGGAAGTGGATTGGGAAGAGCAAAGAAGTTATACCAATTGCTATGAGCACAGAGGTTAGTTTTGATGAGTTGATTGATGAAATAATTAGAAGAGGTAATTTGAGTTGCTCGCGTAGTGATATAGTTGTGAAGTATGTTTTAAGCAGAGTTCCTGAACATTATAAGATACCTCCTACTATATTAAAGTCGGACGAAAGTGTGAAGTTATATATGATTGATGTGGCCGATAATAGTTCGAGACCGATTTTAAGGGTTTCTTTTATAGAAAAACCATTGGAAGTTGGTTCAAAGGAAGGGGATAGCGAGGAAGTAGGCGGAGATTTGCCTGGTTTTAATTTGAACTACGAGGCCATTGATTTGTTAGTTAAAAAATCAAGATTAGACGGTGAATTGAGTGGTGAGGAGGACATTGTAGAAGAGGTTGGTGATGGGGGGTAGAATGAAAATGTTGAGGAGGAGGACCCCGTACATGTTCCCACAGATGTAAAGATTCCTTTAAATACAGATTATGCAGAAGGCGTAGATTGTGAGGAAGAGAACACTATGGTCGTTTATGCAGGTTCAGAGGGGGCAATTGGAGGTAATAGTGAATCAGCTCATGTTTTTACAGATGGATCGGAGTTGCGCATAGGGTATTTATTTGACAACAAAGAGGAAGTGGTGAGGAAGCTAAAACTTGTTGCCGTGAGAGGTAATTTTGAGTTCATCACCAAAAAGTCAAATTCATTGGCTGTGATGGTTGCATGTCGTGACCGAAAGTACAAGTGGCGGGTTTATTGTAGAAGGTTGGCAAAGTCGGAAAAATTTATTCTTAGCACATATACCCGTGAGCACACATGTGGTTTGGGACACATTTCAGGTGAGCATCGACAAGCGTTCGCTGATGTTATTGGACAATTTGTCAAAAGTTGGTTCGTTGAAGGGAAATGTCCATCTCCTAAAGACATTCAGAGACTTGTGTGCAGAGAATTGAGATGTGCTGTTAGTTACTGGAAATGCTGAAAAGGGAGACAACATGCATAAGATTTTGTGAGGTACACGCTAGAGCACAGGTACGTAGTATTAGAAGTGTACCATTATATGCTTGAGTTGACCAACCAAGGTAGCAAGACGGCTTTGAAGTGGGACAGGAATATGATGTTTAAATATTTTTTTTGTTGCTTATGGTTCTGCTATAAGGGGTTTTGTAAACATGAGAAAGGTGTTGGCTGTTGATGGTTGCTTTCTGATGGGAAAATATGAAAGTACATTATTGGTGGCCACTGCACAGGACAGCGAGAATCACACATATCCTGTTGCATGGTGTGTGGTTGACTCTGAGAATGACGAGTCGTGGACTTGGTTTTTTTGGCAATTACGTACGATAGTGCCTGACAGTGACGAGTTGTGCATAATATCCGATAGGCACAACTCTATAAAAAAGGGGATTGCCACTATTTACCGTCAAGCACATCACGGATTCTGTATAAGGCACCTTGGTGAGAACATAAAACAAAAGTTTAAGTGTGTTGGCCTTCCTCAGACATACTACATGGCAGCACAAACTTATCGGGGTTGATGAGTTTGAGGAGCACTTCTAGCAAATCCGAATCAAGGATGATAGAGTTGCTAAGTATCTTGGACATGATGTTGGGTTCAAGCGATGGAGTAGAGCTTACTTTCCTGGAAGAAGGTTTGATGTCATGACCACGAATATAGCGGAGTCCATAAATTCGAAGTTGTTAATAGAAAGAGAGTTTCCAATAGTTGCACTTTTTGATGCAATCCAGAAGACATTGTCACGGTGGTTCCATGAGCATCGTACGGAGTTAGATAATTTTACTACAACCCTTGTTCCGTCAGCTGAAAAATTATTGCGAGAACGTATGGAACTGTCAAATGCACTGTTTGCCTATCCTCTTAATGCTCAAGAGTTCACTGTGCGCGGCTATAGTCCGGATGCCCTAGTTAACCTTGTTAGTAAAACTTGCAGCTGTAAAGTGCTTGACATTCAACGTTTACCTTATCCTCATGCACTAGCAGCATTGAAACACCAACGGAAGCCGGATTTTGGTTCAAGAATTTACATGGAACTTTGCTCCCCTCTCTATATGGCAGATCACTACATGCTAGCTTATTCAGAAACAATATATCCAGTGCCTCCAAAAGAGCAGTGGGTAGTGCCGCCAGAGTTGGCTAACATTATCATCCATCCGCCATTCAAGAAGACAGCAAAGGAGAGAAAAAGAGTCAAGCGTATTCCATCAGCCTCTGAGGTTCCCCAAAAGATGAATAAGTGCTCAATTTGCAAGCAACCTGACCACAAGAGAAGCAGTTGCTAGAAGTAATCACATGCAGATCCAGAAAATTAGGTTCGAAGAAGGATGGAATTCAGGGAGTTGCGAAAGCCAACCGTTGATGAGTTATTGTTTTCAATTATTGATGTTATAAATTTTATTGTTACCTTTAATAAATCATTCTTTATATTTCTTGTTACATGGCCTAAATATTTATTGGTGATTTTAGTTTGGAATTAGGTTGTCAAATTGAGGAAAAAGTATGGAATTAATACGTGTTGGTAATTTTAGTTTGTCAAAATTCAGGAGAAAAGCTGGAAAGTATATATTGCCCATGATCGCTTAAGCGACTAAGTATATCGCTTAAGCGACAAAGGGTTTTTCAAACAAGATCGCTTAAGCGATATCGACGATCGCTTAATCGACCAAGTGACAAAGAAAAGAATCGCTTAAGCGATATCTATGATCGCTTAAGCGACCCTGTGTAAATGAAGTTCCTTTAGTACGATCACTTAATCAACGAACGAAAAATTTTAAAATTTAACAAATGCACCCCCAACCTACCCAACTTCCCAGATTCCGGCCACCACCATTGGAATCCTATCGGGAAAGGGCGTTACGACACATAGTGGTCGGATCAGGCTGATAGGGCATCGATATGGCCTTTTCCGGCCAGATCAACCATGGATGTGGTCGGAAAAGGCCAAATCATGGCCAGATCTAGCCGTCGACGAATGAAAAAGTCGATATCTGGCCGTTTGTGATGGCCAAATATATGGCCATCGTTTTCGGTCAATGATGCCCAAGATTTGGCTGTCGTTGGTCGTCAACGTCGGCCATTTCTTTGAAAGTCGATGACGGCCAAATATGGCCTTTTTCGGCCAGATCCACAGTGGATCTAGCCGAAAAATGTCAAATCTGTGAATTACCAGCCATTTTCGATCGTTTGTAGCCGTCGGTGGTGCCAGAATCTGGGAAGTTGGTTGGGTGGGGGTGTTTTTGTTAC